TAATACCTGGTATATCCATTCCTAAATGCGAGAAAAAAAATACCAACTATAAAATTTTAGATGAATAAACCCAAACAATTACCTTTTCAAAAAGAGTTAAAGTCAGTATGCTTTACAAAAGCTAAACGTTGTGGGCCAGTAGACTTTTATTGTTCTTATTCAACAATCATTTATTGGTTACTATGTCTGGACCAGCTCTGTCCAACAGAAATTCCTGTGGTGACGGAAATGTTCTGAATGGACATAGTCCAATATGGTAGCCACCAGCCACACGTGGTTATTGAGCACTTGAAACGTGGCTCAGGAGAAACACAATCTTTCATTTCACTTAATTTTAATTAATGTAAATTTAAATAGCCACATGTGGCTAATGGTACCTTACTGGATAGTGCAGATATAGAATAGATGTCAATGTTTTAAGATAGAAAGATGAGCATGATTTGGCTTTTCTCCCCAAAATCTACATAGTAACGGGAAAAATAAAATGCATGCATAATTTTACATAAAAATCCTGATCAAATTTATATGGAACTTAATAATAAGATAAAAGTTATATGGAAGAAAAAAGCCCCCAAATTGCCAAGATAACTCTGAACAGGAGGAGGGTGAGGGGAGAGAAGAGGTGAGACTTGTCCTACCAGATACTAAGAATCATCATAGAACTATCATGATTAATAGTAAAGTATTGTCACGGAGAGAGACAAATGAACAGCAGTAGAACAGCCCAGAAGCCTGTTTGTGCAGGATTTTTTTTTTTCTTTTTGGCAAGATGCAGAAAGCAGAAACTATAAAGAAAAATGATACATTTTACTATCAGAATTTAAACTTCTTGTAGTCACCAAGACAACATAAATACAGTTAAAAGACAAGCCACAGACTAAGGAGATAGAACATATACAGCTGACAAAGGAGCAGAATAAACACATATACGAATAACTTCCCAAAACTTCAGTAAGAAAAAACAAGTAACAAAGAGAACACAGGCAGAGGATATGAGAGGGTGATTCGCAAGAGATGAATCTGAAAGATGAATACGTGTCAAATGTGCTCAGTTACAGGAAATGAGCTAGATCCATATTTATCAAGGCTAGTAGGTCTCAAGGCTAATGGCTCACAGGCTTAGTTGCTCTGCGACATGTGGGATCCTCCTGGACCGGGGCACGAACCTGTGTCCCCTGCATCGGCAGGCAGACTCCCAACCACTGCGCCACCAGGGAAGCCCATAAGGTAAACTTTTGAAGAGCAAGGGACACCTGTATAGTGTTTGTGTGTAGTACCTAGGTATAAAAAGGATTAAAACATGGAGGAGATGAATAACGACTTCATGATAACCATACCTGGGCAAGAGACAGCCTGAATCTTCATCAGAGGGGGCCACACTTTCGCCTTCCTCTCCCCTAGAGCCAAGGGCTTGTACCCACCTGAAGCCCATCCCCCTTCCCATCCTCCTGTCTCACACCAACACGCTGGGATCTGAGATCCCAGGTTTCCCTGCTTAATGGTCCTGAGCCCTCTTCTTGAGCCTGTGTGGCCTTTTCCCCAGGCCCACCTTCTGAAGAAAGGGTCTGGTAGCTGCCCTGGGGAGGAAGGGAGGGGACAGGGGACAGGACCTGAAGGCATATGAAGGAGACTTCAGCTGTGTCTAGGAGTGTTAGTTCTTTATAACAATATACCTAAAACACGATAACATGACACTTGCTAATTCTGGGGAAGGGTGGTATTTTTGTACAACTCTCTTTATTAATAGCCAACTTACATATAGCACTTATCATGTTTCAAGTACTGTTTTAAGCGATTTGCATAAAAAATGAAAAGGTGTCATCGCTACTCAGTTTTACAGAAAAGGCTAAATAACTTGCCCAAGTCACTCACCATAAAGAGTAGAAGGGGATTTGAACATAGCAGGTCTGGCTCCAAATTCCATGATCTTAGCAACTGCTCTAGGTCTACTTGTCCAAATGCTCAGATTACTTCATTTAAAAAAAAAAAAAAGGAATTAAAGTTAAAATAGCCTGACAACTGCAATACAAAGAAAAATGTAGTAAAATTCCTTAAGAAGGTTCTTAGATGTGTTAGGAGCACAGACAAGGACGGCAGACATGACTTGGGGAAGAAGGCCGTTTCGGCAGTCGGGGAGGGCTCGGCGGAGGGGATGCGGACTTTCGGCCCAGGCCTTGCTGGGCAGTGGCTGTGAGGGCAGGAGAGTGAAATGCCAGGAAGAGGAAACTTCTTTGTGTGGACAGGCACAGATTTAGGAAAGTTAAAGAAGGATTTGAGAATTAGCAAGTCGTGGTGTTTGGCTGTCACATGGGGGGACAACTTGGTGAGGGATATAGGTTGGGATCTTGAAAGGGAGCGTGAGAAATGAGTATTTTATTTGGAAACCAAGGCAAGCCCTTGAAGGCAGCACCTCCGAGCTGCTCCGTGGGAAGACAACAGTGCAGCCTGGCTGGAAGGATAGCGGCCGCAGGTGAGGAGCCCCTAGGGTCACTGCGAACAAAGTTGGTTAACAAAGTTGGTGGACGAGGAGAGGAGGCCGTGCCTGTGGGGGACAGGGGAGGAGGGAGGTGTCAGGAAGCATCCAGTTGTTCCACCAATATTTATGGAGCACCTACTAGGTGGTGGCAATATAGAAATTAACAAAACAAAACTTTCTGTCCTCGTGAAACCTGCCTTCTTAGTGGAGGAGGGGGCAAAAGTAAGAAAAATAAGTAAATTTAGTAAACAAAGGGATAAAAATATGCATATGTTAGAGGGTGATAAGCACTTTGGAGACAGATAAAACAGGGAAGGGAGCTGGGGGCTTGCCTGTGTACTGGGGCAGGGGTGGTGGGGAGATGGCCAGGAGGGATGAGCTGAGGGCACCTTTAAGTAAAGGCCGGAAGAGTGCCGGGTGTTGAGATGATATTGAGAGTCTGAGTCTTGGGGTGGGGCCATGGTTACCCCAAAAGAGAGGGCAGAGGAGTAGCTGGGTGGGAGGAGGACAGATTCTGGGGTCCCAGGGGGCAGTCAATAATATGGACTACACCCTGGAGCGTGAGACATGTACACACAGAAGTGGCTGCTAACCAGGTGACAGATGAGCTTCAGTAGCTGGGAACAAGGATGATAGAACAGTGAGAACTCTCATTCAGTGAGCCCCTCATGTGTGCCCACCTGCCACCAGGTGTTTTATCCTTCCTAGTACCCGGGATCCTTAGGACATCCCTGCACGGAAGACAGTATTAACTCAGCAGCAAATAAGAACGACAGTAATAAGAGCTAACGTGTGAAAGGGCAGACTGTGCGTCGGCAGGCACTTTATGTGTAATAATTCATTCAATCCTCACAGCGACCCCAGGAAGGTATCAGTCTCAGTTGACAGATGAGAAGACTGGGCTGGCCCGGTAAGGTGCCCAAGGTCACAGCTGGTGAACGGACGCAGCCTGGCTCCGGTCCTTGCTCTGGAAGGAGGAAAAGTCAGTCTGCGCTCTACCGGCCTCTCTACTCTCTGAGAAAAGTGAGCTAAGAGTAGAACGCTTTTCAGACGGCTGGGGTGGGGTTCTGGGCAGAAGAGCTGGAGAAATTCTCAGAAGATACGTCTTGAGGGGAGAGGCTGGGCCAGGGCAGGGAGGACGCTGTTAGGAGTGCAGGGTGAACAGCATAGCTGAAGGCTGCAGCCGCGAAGGGGCTTTTAACCCGGCCCGGGGAGGGCATCCGAGTGTGGACATGGACACAGCAGCCTGGACGCGGAGCAGGGGCCAGGACGCCAGATCGCACACAGCTCTGCGGATCTCTGGGAGCGAATAAGGGAGCTAAAAACAACGATTGAAACCAACCAACAAACACCCTTTCTGGGCGATTTCAGGGCCAAGAGCGAAAGCCTTGGCTAAAGAAACCTGTAAGGGGCTGAGGTCCGTTCTCACTTAGAACTCCAGGACTCTGAACAAGACGCCTCACACCCCTGTGGGTTGCCCAGCTGCTCTTTTGAAAAAGTTGGACGCTCTCTGAGATGTCGCCAAAATCTAATCCCGCGTGGTCCTAGCTCTGCAGTCGGTCCACTGCTCTGGGACCCGGCTGCCCGGCCCCAGGGGTGCGCCGGGCGGCTCTGCTCACCCAAGGGACGATAACTGGCGGGGTGTGGGAGGAAGGGGGCTCCCCCGGCACGGGCTTGGGACCCGGAGCGCGCGCGTCGTCGGTCCCCTAGGCGGCACCCGGGACCACCTAGAGACCGAGTCCCAGGAGCCTGGGAGTCGCTGGGTGGCCCTGGAACTTTCTTCTCTGGAGCCCGATCCGGGACCGCCCGCAGAACAGGCTGCTGGCAAAGACCAAATGGAGCTCCGCGCCAGGCCGGAGGCTATGCGCGTCACTCGCAGTCCCGGGCCGGGTCCGTGGCGCGCGGTGGCGCTCCGCCAGGCCGCGCCACCCGCGCCCCGCCGCGCGCCCACCCCGACCCCGCGGCGGCGCCCCGGGGGAGCGCGGCCCG